AGTCGAATAATAATAATTAGTCGAATAATAAAAATAAGTCGAATAATAAAAATGTTCGGAGTAACTAAATTAGTCATATGGTACTACCGACTAAGTCGGTAGTAATTAGTCACTTTTGCCCATCACTAGTTTGAACAACGAAATTGAACCAAGTTCTACACTATGTGTTATAAACAAAAATAATAATGATACTGGAATTCAATTTGAAGAGCAAGGATTTAAGAATTTTAAAAAAACCAATTCCACTCCACATTAATAATTTTTTTAGTGTCCATCCTATTCAACCTTTAGACAATGCAACTTTTCTACCATTTGATTATAAATTTTTTTTTTTAATTTAATAATATGAATAGAATTTGGTGTACTTATGATGTTCAAGAAAATAAATTATACTGTTCAGTTTGTTTGGCATTCACTACTGAAATGAATTCATTTACTACGGGTTTAAATGATTGGAGACATGTACACCAGCGTATAAAAGAACACGAAAATAGTAAAAATCATAATTTTTGTTCAGAAGCTTACTTTTTACATTTTCAAAAAAAAGATATTGGAAACTTATTGTTTGTCAATCAAAATCATTTACAAAGAGAAGAAGTAAAAAAATGTCGTCAAGTACTTGCCCGAATTATAAATGTAATAAAATTAATCGGAAAATGTGGTCTTAGTATAAGAGGGAAAAGAAATGAAGCTGCCTACCTGCTGAATAACGAGTCTGTGGATCATGGCAATTTTCTTGAACTCATAATTTTGCTCAGCAAATATGATGTTGTCTTAAATGAACATTTAAATTCAGTTATAAAGAAAAGTGAAAATCAACATAATCGTAATTCCAAAGGTCGTGGTAATTTAGTAACTTTTCTTAGTCATTATACTACAGATAATATTATCAATATAATTTCTAATTTGATTAAATCAACAATATCAAAAAAAAATAAAAGAAGCAAATATTATGTTCTCAGTGTTATTAGATACAACACAGGATATATCAGTCATGGATCAATGTTCCATCTTTGTAAGATATGTGGTAGATAAAAAAAAAAAAAAATGAAAGGTTAATATCTGTTAAATCATGTACTGATTCAACTGGTAAAGGTATGATGAACCTTTTAAAGAAGGCAGTGGATACGGTTGGCTTAGATATTACACATTGCATTGGAAATGCAACAGATGGTGCTGCTAACATGAGAGGTGCATACAATGGATTTACTTCTTGGCTTAGTGAAGAAGCACCAGATCAAGTACATGTTTGGTGCTACCGTCATGTACTTAATCTTGTTATTAGTGATACAACCAAAAGCCCAATTGCAGTAGCTAATTTTTTTTAATTTAATTCATTCTTGTGCTGTTTTTTTTAAGGAATCATATCAAAGAATGAATTTATGGAAAGAAATTAGTGAAAAAGATAATATTCACAGACGATTACAAGCAATATGTGAAACAAGGTGGACAGCTAAAGAAACAGCGATCAAGAGATTATTTGGTACATATAATAGTTTGGATGATAATGGTATGTTGAGTGACCTTTTACTTGTTTTAACGAAAATTGTACAAAATCCAAATTTAAATCCAGATGTGAGGTCAAAAGCAAGTAATTTTATTTCATCTTTTATTAAATATGAAACTATTTTAATTGCTCATATGTATATGAAAATATTTCAAATCACTGGGCCATTATCAAGATACTTACAATCAAATAAATTGGATCTTTTAAAATGCCAGCAAATGGTTACAAGTGCTTTAGAAAATCTTAAAGGAATTCAACGTGGTGTGGAAAGTGTCAAAGAAGCATGTAATACATTTATAACTAATACAAACAACAACATTGAAACTATGGCTATTAGTTATAAATTAAATGTTGAACAGATTCAATCAACATTTAAGGAAAAAAGAATAGCCAAAAAAAAGAAAACTTTTAACTATGAAAATGAAGAAGACCTTATTACAACTCCCGAAAAAAAGTTCACAATAGAAGTATTTAATATAGTATTGGACACTGTGGTTAACAGCATGAATACTAGGTTTGTAAAAAATAATAGCTTATATTTTGATCTTTCACTTTTATGTCCTAAAAATTTTCCTTTTAATAATCTTAAATATATACCTGAAAGTGCATTTCTTACATTAGCCACTAAGTTAAAACCCTTTATACCCTTTAATGACAATAATGAAAACAGTGTACCAGACATAAGAAATAGACTCTCCGAAGAATTATGGAATTTCAGTAATTCATGGAAATATTTAAAAAATTCATTGGAAGAAGAATATGATAAAATTACATTGATTGAAACGATTGGTGAGGATCAAGTTGAGGATGAAGAAAATTATGAGAACTTGTTGACACCTTGTAACTTGACATGCAAAAGTTGTTCGATTTGTTGTTATAGATTGTTAGTTAAATACAACTTATTTTCTAGTGCATATAGTTTATTAACTTTAGCATATAAATATCTGTTGACTTTGCCAGTAACTCAAGTTTCTTGTGAAAGATCTTTTTCTAACCTTAAATATTTAAAAAATAGATTGAGAAATTCAATGACAAACGATAATCTAGAAGCATTTATGTTGATGTCTATAGAAAAATCAATTCTAACAGAAATAGATAATGATATCATAATAAATGAACTGGGTACTAAAAGTAATCTTTTAAGCAAATTATTATTGTAATTACATTAATAAATATTATTTGTTAAAAATGTGTGTAATTGATTATTAATAAGTATAAGTTCTGTTTTATATTAAATAAGAGGACATGCTAAACAATGTTAAGTATTTGTTATCATTTTGAAACCTTAAACCTTATACCTTATAATTTGTAAATTATTTACAGCTTACAGCTAAAATCAAATAAAACTAATAACATTTAGTTAAAAAATTCCAAAAGATCGGTGGCAAAAACACAAAAACATAATTCACTAAAAAAAATAAAAAAATAAATTATTGTTCATTGTTAATTAATATATTAGTATAAGGACCTATAATATTATAATAGTTTACTGTGAAACTGAAAACAATATAAGAAGACATATGTGATGAGTGATCACTGATCAGTGTTTTGTGTACATTGATTGGACATAAGCAATTATATAAACGCATTCCAAAAAAAATATTAAAAAGTGGCCTGAAAATATCGGTTTGCCCGGTAAGAATTTTGGAGCCACTCCGCCCCTGGATTAGTGATAAATAAATTGTGTAGTCAGTATAATTTATGATAATTGATATACCGTCCGTATGAATTATGATAAAATATAATGTAGGTACTAATATCCATACATTAAAAGCTATAAGTAACGGGAAAACTTAGATCAAAAGGTGAAAACAACAAGTTGTTCACATCTACATACATAATAAACACGTCAGCAGTAACGAGGGATAATTTTATATTTTAGTCTATCACATTACAAGTACCATTGTCATTGGTAGTCATTGTTGCACGTCATAATATAAATCAATATAATGTATGTATTTTTATCCTTACATTAAAAGCTTAGTAATAGGAAACTAAGATCAAAAGGTGGAAACAACAAGCTGTTCACGCCTATTCACATAATATACAAGTCAGCATTATAGTTATAACGAACGATAATTAAGATTATAGCCAATCACAGTTTTCATTGTTAGACTTCATATAAATATTGGTTAACCACATAATATTTGTTAGAAGATAGTCAGCAACAGTCAGAGTGTTCACTAATATCGTTAAACATGAGTGCACAAAATTCAGATTTTGAAGAAATCAATGTAAGTGTTTGCGCACCGTCACGGAGCTATTGAAATACTATCGTTAGCTGGCCGTACGACACTTGCGGCGGGTAATTGAAGCTGATATAACCTGTGTGTGGATAGGAGTACTTAACACATTACGAAAATAGTTATAAACCATACACAAACTGAAGGTGAGCGCTTATGGCACTAAACAACCTTATTATTGCCAACACATATTATCATAAACAAAAGTGGTATAAACGGGGGATATGATCATACCTTACAATGACCTACTAATCGGGAATGGCGATGTACAAAAGAGATATAAACATTAACAATAACAACAGCAATCTTATCTGCACAACGATGGTGATAGTGGCCTGGACTGACAGCAGCTGACTCCTGGACACGATAATGGACGATACTGGTGCCAACGGACAACAACAAGCGGGACTGGTGCACCGATCGACGCACCGGCGATTATGGAATTGCACACCTGACTGGTGCGGCGCTCGCGGCGTAACGGCGTACAGCAGGGCACAGTGGGAAACCACGTGAAAAACCCAAAGTCGGCCGATCGCGAACCACTATGGACCGGCGAACGGGGACGCAATCAACAACACGACAAGCGAAACCGGTACAATGCACGGACGCGTTCGGTGATTATTCACGCGTACGGTGATGGACGTCAAGGGGGTCCGAACACGCACTACGGTGAATGAGACTCTCGGAGTCGACACTCGACACTACTTACAGCGGTACCGGACTGGCACGTTGACGCAAACGTGGAGGTCGAAACGGCCGAGCACGGACAAAAAAACGTCGAACGATCACGCGCGTACTAACAACGGCATGTATGCGAAACGAACGCGGTCTTCGGACGGATCCGGGCACTAGAGCAACGACAAAGATGGCGCGGGTACGAGAAGAAAACACAAATCGACCGGTCAAGCACGGACGTGCGGGCAGAACTCGTTGACGGCGGTCACCCGAGGCTGGAAGCGCACCACTAGCTTGATCACGGGTGGTGGAGGGGGGGCGATGTTCAACTTCGCGAATGTTCGGCACCCGACGCGATGTACAGTAGAGCAACGACGTTGTTGCCCAAACAGTAAGTATACAACATTATAATAATAATTAATACATCATTAATATTTATAAATGTATGTACAATTATCATCACTAAATGTTATAAACATATTAATTATAATTAAGGAACAATAAGGTAAAATGCAGAATTTAAAAAAAAAATCAAACGCAGTACAAACATTAAACAAAAAAAACAGAATGAAATAATGACCAACACAAGTGAACAAAATTCAGATGATGAAGAAATCAATGTATGTACAACATTATTATTATTTTTAGCTTACTTTCATTAATCCTCACGAAGTATTGTAATCATATTAAACATATTAATTATAATTAAGGAACAATATGGTAAAATGCAGAATTTTAAAAAAATCAAACGCAGTACAAACATTAAACAAAAAAAACAGAATGAAATAATGACCAACACAAGTGAACAAAATTCAGATGATGAAGAAATCAATGTATGTACATTATTATTATTTTTAGCTTACTTTCATTAATCCTCACGAAGTATTGTAATCATATTAATCATATTAATTACAATTTAGGAACTTTATGCTAAAATGAAGAATTTAAAAAAAATCAAAAATAATATAAATGGTAAACAAAAAAAACAAAAAATAACAATGAGTACAAGCAACCAAAATTCGGATGATGAAGAAATCGATGTATGTATACATTTATTATTATTGATAGGTATATTATATTAATATTTTATAATTTAATTGAAAACATGATAATATAAATTTAGGAACATAACGGTAATCGAATAAATCAAATACAGAATTTAAAAAATGTCAAATCCATTAAGTCTAAACCAAAAAAACAAAAAGTAAAATATTAAATATTAAAATATTATATTTATTAAATAATATTGATTTTAGTTTCAGTCACATTTATTAAAATTAGAACAAGAATATGATGGATCAACATTAAACAATGAAAACTGTATACGTGTAAAAAAACCAGGTGGTGGTAATTTTTCAATTAAAATACCGGTGAATCAAGGAGGAGGTGATTATTTGGTAGTTCAAAAGTATAAGACAGCCGATATGGAAAAAGTAGAGTCAAAAGAGAGGTAACAACAATTGTGATGCGTAGTATATTTAATAATATATCTATGATAATATACAAATATAATTAATTATAACATGTATCCATTATTTTGATTATTAAATAGATGGAAAACTAGTACATTTAACGCAAAAATTATACTCAACGAAAAAGATAAAGCTGACAATGCAATAACATTAGCATTCAATAACTTACAAGATTTGATGATGGATAAATTTATGTGTAATGATGATAAACAAATTGAATCTTATCAATAATAAGACTACACATTTATTCTATTTTAATTTACATGTTGTATCACACTTAAATAAAGTTATATGTATTTGGCAATTGTGTTATATAAAAAAATGATGATATTATTATGTATAATCAAATTAATAAACAAATAGCTATGATACATTAATTATTATATTTTTGAAATAAAAAGACGAATCATTATGAAATATACAACTATTTTATTAACAGATTACAACAAATATCAAAAAAATAAAACAATATTAATGATTAAAGATATAATATTATAACACAATATAATAAGAACATCATACAATTTTAGTAAAATAAAAATGAGTAATTAAAATGTAATAAAATCAAATCATGATTATTTGGTTTTTATTGATTGATTATGTCAGGCTTTAATACAATGTCTGCAAACTTTCCATGATGTATTTGCTGTAGATCGAGTAAAAATGATATCTCTTTATCCTTCAGATCATCCATTTTGAATGTATAATCTTTAATATATGTACTGATAAAATCACTTCTAATACAATCAGGTGATAAATATAAAATATCATACTTGATAATTATACATGCATTATTGAAAACAGTTTGATACATCACTAATTTATTTGTTAACTCTATGATATTTGCATTTATACATGGTTCCAATAATTTCAATCGATTTAAATTATCACTGGATAATGTGATTCTGTTATTATTATGATATAAATTAACTGATTCAGATTTTGGACATATTTTATAATAAAAATTATTATCCAAATGTAATCGTTTTGAATGTTGAACAGTGGATAAAGAACGAACAATTATATTAAAACTATCATCAGATATAAACTTATTCCATTGAAATACATTTAGTATTAGATAACGTTTAGTTACGTTACACATGAATAAAATAATTACAGATAAAGGTTGATTAACAAGGTATCCAATATAAATGTTTTTTTTATTCTGTTGATGTATGTTGAATATTGATTTGACTATTACACCTTCCATGATGAAGTGTACCTACAGTATTGATTTAATTAGTTAACTCAAGATTATAATATTTTGGTTTGGATTTCACTCTAGTGGATCTTCTAAGTTTCTTCAATGTACAACAGTGTTGACGTATCGGTTGGATTTTATCGATTTTAATATATGATTTAATTTTAATTAAATTATTATTACTTTGATGAGGAGATAAATAAATAAAATACAACATAGTCAAGACTACTACACTAGTACACTGTCAAAACACTACTAAAATCAAATCTAGAAAAAAGCTAAATATATTCAACAATGTGTAGACAGTTGTTATCAGTTTGATCACATAATGAAAGTTAAAAGTATTTATATAGTCAATGATTTTTGTTTATCAATTAATATTTTTTTTTTCAAATCTATAAACATATAGTTAGTAACAACACACAAACATGTATCAGGTCAGCAATGACAATTTGACCACACACAAAACTAAATGATAATTGATTTTTTCTGTTTCAAATTTAATAACATATTGTTGAATACAAGAGAGAGTACTATTTTGTGCATTCAACTTTTATAATATTCTTCATAGATTGCATATTATTCGTAAAAATTCTCAGGAATTACGTTCTGCAGATGTAATCGATTACGGGTACAACGGATCTAGCGCTTAGATGGCATTGTTCCAGTGACTCCTTGGAGGTCCACGTTATGGGTGTATCGCTCATGAGCTGCCCATCTCGTGTACCGCTACAATGATCCGACAACGCCTTTACTCGATGCTGATCCGATTATTCGGTGGCTGCAATGTCGTTGACATATTATGAATCTATTCGAATATACTTGCTATACGATCACGAGATATTAAATCAAATATTAACACATATAAGTTGTTTTAAAAAAATGAATATTTATTTTTATTTACTATAATGTATTATAAAAACATGATTAATAAACGATATTGTATAACTCAGTTTTGCAATTTACAAATATGTTCGGTTTTACAATATTTACTTAATATGTTTTGAACATACTGATTACCCTTCATTAATAACACATATAAACATCTTGGACTGAATCTGCAATGTTCAATCCACGGGTCGTCAAGCCTTTCCCAATTATAAAGAATAAGACCACAACAAAAGCATTCCACGACATCATCGACTCCTGAATATTTTAAGCCACATTCGGACAATGTATATTTATTTTGAGAAGTATTTGACGGGAATAATTTGAATGTTTTAAATCTTGATGAAAACGAAGAAAATGCTGGATGAACCATAGTCGGATTACTTCGTATACGATAAACTAATGATTCAAAATCATTTGGACATTTTTGAAAATTCATTTTTGAAGAAATTAAATAACTTATACAATGCAATAAAACTTTGAGAAAATAAAGAAAAATGAGACACGACTTGAGTGACCGGCGGATCATTAGTAACTGAATATGAAAAAAAAAAACAGATTAAGTTATATTGTATTATTATAATATACTACAAACAGTTATTACAAAATCTAATTACTTCAAAATGCAAACGCACTTAATTACGAAATTTAAGTTTATGAAAAAAAAAAACAAAAAATGTAGACTCATGTCCTAATTGACTATGACACTGGATGTAGCATTAACATACTTACTTACCCTAAATTCAAATTTATCAAACTCTAAATCCAACGCCTTAGTCCACTAGGCCATTAGTCTACAAGTTAATTAATTGATATTTGTACATTTAAGTTGAAATAATGAAAAATAAAAAACGAAAAAAAAAAGTAAATATATTTGTAGAAAAAAAAAAATAATAATAATAAAAGAACACATAATAATAATCATTAATGTGTAATTCAGTAAAATATCTTTTTTTAGTAAAAATTTTCCCGGGGTCGTCACTGACACCGCAAGGGGAAAAGTTGTGGATAAACAATTTTAAATCTCCCTGTAACTGAAAAAACTTGGATAGAAACTACATATACTACCTACTGTTGGCGATTAGCACCTTACAACAAAACAATATAAATTATTGGCGATTCACGCCTTACACAGAAACAATATTACTCACTGGCGATTCGCGCCTGGTAACAATAATAATAAAAACGCGGTGATTTGCGCACGAACGAATCACTCGTTCCGTATAGACACTACGGAGCGAACTGCTGGACTCCGGCGTCTGTAGTGGGTCTTCGCGTCGACGACCGCTCGCGAATAATCTACATCTTACGTAATTTCGATAACACAAATAATACAAAAATAAAAGATAGTGATGCGTGTGTTCAGCTGTTCTGTAGTATTGCTGATACCTACTTAAGATATTTAAATTAAAATGATCCGAATAATTAAATCATTCTGCGGCGGAAACATCATCCCCCCGTTGAAAATCTTGATTTTCAACCGCTATACTGTCCGCTTCTGTCGCAAAGCTTTACGGTAGGTCTCTTCATTTCAGCTCCGTTTGCTGTTCTTATAGTAGCAACTCTTATTACCTCGTCACTTCCAGGATGTACCTTGGTTACTCTACCTAATTTCCATCGCGTCGGCGGCATAGATTCCTCCTTGATTATAACGATGTTATCAACTTTCAAGGGTTTGGTTTTCGTGACCCACTTTCCTCTCACTTGGAATTGTGGCAAATATTCCAATTGCCACCTACGCCAAAATGTCTGCATCAACAGTTGTACATATTTCCACCTTCGTAGATGATCATGATTTTCGTTCGACAAGTCCGGTTCAGGCGGAAGCGTCATCGTTCCCCAACAAGAAAATTAGCTGGTGTGAGTGCTTCAGCGTCGGACGGATCACTACTCATCGGAGTTATAGGCCGCGAGTTAAGGCAATTTCGATCTGACAGAGCAACGTATTCAACTCACTTAACGTTAATTTAGCTTCTCCCATCATTCGAGTCAAATGATGCTTAGCGCTTTTGACAGCGCTTTCCCATAAGCCGCCAAAATGGGGCGCTGCTGGAGGGTTGAAGCGCCACTCCACTCCTTCTTGCGCCATTTCAAGACCTGCGTTCGTTATATACGATTTCAATTCCCTCTGCGCGCCAACAAAGTTCGTGCCATTGTCGCTATAAATAGTATTACAACGTCCTCGTCGAGACATAAACCGACGCAAGGCTGCTATAAACGCCTTGCTAGTCAAATCTTCGACCACTTCTAAATGTATTGCCTGAGTCACAAAACACACAAATACAGCTATCCACGCTTTAATGCCTACTACTCATCGTATACCACTGCAAATCACCAACGGCCCAGAAAAGTCCACTCCGGTTACGGAAAACGGGCGGGTGTGTTGAACCCTTTGTCTCGGTAACGGCGCCATTATCGGCTCAGAAAACCGTGGCTTGGCTCGGGTACATATAATATATTTTAATACGCTTGAACGTGCGACTGCTCGACCTCTCAACGGCCAATATTGTCTCCGTACCTCAGCTAAGAACGCCTGAGGCCCACAGTGCAGTTGTTCGATATGTGTCTGCTTAAAGATAAGTTGATTGACCTTGTTGTTAGCTGGAAGCACTATATGATGCTTGCGAGTCTCTAACCAATTAGAGTTATTCAACCTTCCACCAACTAAAACTAATCCGTCCTTCATTACGGGTTCAAACATCTTAGCTTACTTCGAGCGAGCAGTTCCTTGTTATCTCTTAAGGCTCGTACTTCATCAGGAAAAGCTTCACATTGCACCCTTTTCAATATCCAAACTTCTGCTTGTTGCAGCTCGGATTTGGAATTATATGGCACTCTAGATACCGATTTCTTGTCACGTAAATACTTTAAAAATCGGAGGAGCCAAGCTACACCTCGTTTTAACCTATTCCAGTCGGAATAATACTGTAGAATTTCGTTCGGAGGACTCGTTGTTACTAATGCTAATTTTATACCCTTTCGTTCAGGAAGATCATCTTCCCTTATAGCTTGATGGGTGTGTGAAATCCATGTCCTTTCGTTTTGCATTAACCATTGTGGTCCTTCCCACCATAGCGCCGAGTTAATAATAACTCGTGCGTTAATTCCTCTTGAGATAATGTCCGCTGGATTGTCCTTGGTT